TTAAGAGAAAGCTCAAGTCACTGCTGTGATAACTGCAGTTGCATATGGAACAAAGGACCGTATTTAATTAGAGTGGCTGCCTAACAAAGCCAACTCTTGATGACAACATGCTACTATGAAATTGATATATTCTTGTGTATTTTAATATGATAATTCACTTTTCTAAATTGTGCCAAAGGGATGCTTATTTTGGCTTTGCTTATTAAAAACACATGCAGAAGAGAATCCAGTAGAGCAAATAAGAGTTCTCCGTTTTCCTCACACAGACTTGAAGTAATTACACAGAAGTCAGTTGATTTACACAATAGTTATATATCAGCTTCCGACATAGATTTTGAACTAGTAACTGACCAGTTGGTCCAAGGACACACCGAAGTACACAAACAGAAGAAAGCATGTGCTTAAAAGATTGTCTGAATTCTTTTCAGGAATTCTGAATTCTTTTCAGGAATTCTGAATTCTTTTCAGACTCTTTCCTGAACTGGGAGCTTCCATAATAACTTTAAATGGCAGGAAGAAAAGCTGAATGCTGTTAGGAACATCAAGAATGGTTCATTTTCGTTCATTTATTTCAAAATGCTATTTTTAACAAACACATCAGATAAAGAACAGCCAAGTGTGACCATTAGCTCCTACATAAGTACACGTATACAAAATGTGACAGAGGTTTTGTTTCTGATTGATTGGCTTCTTCAATATAATATATTTTCATATCAGCAATATTTTCAATACAAATTGGGATTTTTTTAATCCATTTTATATAGATTTTTAAAATATCCTTGAGTAGACAGTAGGCTTGTTCTTTTATCCTTTTCCATGAGAAGGAATTCAAATAGCAGCGAAGTATTGTGCTAGTGTGATATAAAAGGTAGTAAGATGCTTTATTTTTAAAAAATGTGTGTCCACAAGGAAGACAGGGGAGGAAAGGGAGAGGGGGAAGAGAGGAGTGTATTTGATTTCCAGAACTTTTGCACATTACAATTCATCAGGCTGCTGTTAAAGATATGAAAAACAACTTACAGTGCCTTGAATTATTAAGAAAACACGAGTTTTGGCACAAGGAATACTGCCAAATGAAGTAAAAAAAAAAAAAACCAGAACAAGAACCATAGCTATGTTAATAACTAACTTCATTTGTTCATTTCATTTGCTATCATACCAATGTTTTTGGACTTTCATTAGCCACGTATACTTAAGAAGCTTTTCACAACTGTCTGGAAGGCTGCTATCCTTCTCTTCCATTATATTCCCTTTTTAAGGAATAACATTAGCACTAATTAGAACTTCAGCAATAATTGTAATTGTTATATATATAACAGTGTCCACTGTTAGCAATAATTAGAACTTATTCAGTGTTTATTGCAAGACAGCGGTAGCTGGGATAGCCAACATACACTGGTATAATTTTATCAAAATGTAACCATTTTTTTCCATGGGGGAAAAAAAAAAAAAAAGCTTCCCAGTTCCTGAGTTTGCATCCCACAGCCCTTTACCACTGTTACATGCTCTCGTCCAACACACACATCCACTTCCCATTTCACTATCTCAATACTCCCAGTTCCTCTTCACCTTCCCCAACTCTTGGTTAGACACAGTAAGCACCTACACACCATTTCAAGCGACACATACGCCAAGAGTCATGCCAAACCACATTGCAGCTCCCTGCTCACCAGGACACTAGTCTAACTAGTCCTTTACATAGTTGGTAATTTCCACATATTTTTAAAGGCATGGAGGAACAGAGACATGTACCTCCTTCAACCAAATTGCAACCAGCCAGTTGCACTTGCTGCAAGGTAGGAAGCACAGATATACGGATCATCAACACAGGCCTTACTTCCCAGCGTGTCCTGGTAGGTTAAGTCTAGATGGGTTAGATGGACTGAGGAACTAGAATCACAGAATCATAGAATGTTTTGGGTTGGAAGGGACCCC